TTCCCTGAACGTCCCGCCCCCCCCCCGGTCTTGTTGACTGTCTCGGTGTAGGTTGAAGTTCAACGCAGCCGGTGCTGAGCTGGCTACTGGCACAACCAGCGGGGCCTCCGTTTGTCACGGAAAGGCAGATATTTATCACAACACGTAGTCGTAACATGGCCTCTGCGCTGTCCGGTTAACTTCAGCTTCTTAATCGCGTTTGTGTACCAACAATTGTTGTCGACATTTGAAGCTGCGGCTCAGCTACCGTCACAGTGAATGGGATCCGACGACTCGTCTGTCATTTCCGTTAGCCGACTGTCTGTCTATCTAACGTTGTCAGTGTTTGTAAAGACTTGTTTTATTTAAGTTTTTTTGTTTTCAAGACGCCGTAGTCTTCACATAAACCAGCGGGTATCGTTAGTTTCACTACCCAGTTTACATAGAGAGCAGCTAACGTGCTAAAAGCGGGCTAATATCTGTCAAACTAACGTTAGCTCACTTGAGTCCAGTTCCGTTGTTGTTTGAAAAGCCTGGCATGGACCCAGAAACACTATCCCGACCGGTAATGGAACCGGATCACGTTTACGTGTTTTTTCTGAAGGAGCTGCAGCATGTAAGTGTACAAACTGAGTCAGTCGGACTGCCTGTGTAGTGTGTGTGTGTGTGTGTGTGTGTGTGTGTTGTGCTATCGTGGCCTGCTGACGTGTTAATGAGCATATGCTTGATGCACATTCACTTCAACGTTAACTAACTCCTCAGTTTACTCACCAGACTACCAGATCCAGCTGATCTTACCTCTTAGGAGTTGTCTGAAGAGCTATGACTTCCATATGGGTGTTTTTAATGTGTTGATTTCTGTGTAGAATAGTTTCATATCACGGTTGCAGCGCTGCTTTTTGTGCGTTGTTATATTGAAATAGTTAGACTTTGGCTGAAGAGAGTGTGTTAATCCTTGCAGGTAATGTGGTGTGTTCATTTATTTGTAATCCCTGCATTTCATTAGAGCCCCGAGTGTGTTTGTTCCTGTCCGAACTGCCTCATGTTAAGTTCAAAGGTTACTTTGTGGTTGGAGCGGTTCCTCTTAGTGTGACTGGACATTAATGGAAACCTGTGGCCCATTTTGGATATTTATACAATTAGAATACAACAAATACTTTAACATTTAGGCAGCAAACAACCATTGTATGATTATTGATGTAAGTGTGAAATAATCCCCACCTGGCTTGTAGTATTAAATGGTTGTTTTGTGTGTTTGGGTGTACCACATGAATTCATAAATTGCTTTCCTGACCCACTGAAGCACTTTAACATCAACCCTTTATGTTCCAAACAGGATTGAGTTTCTTGGTTTTGGCATAAGGACGCTGCTTGGTGCAGTACTTTATACTATTATTGTATGGTAATGCTCTGATATCTTGATAAGCTCTCTTCTCAGTGAATACAGTAACAGACCACTCACTTCTCTTGTTGTTCATCACATTTCGGTTAATGAATATCTCAATCTAAGGGGTACGTGTAATTGTTGGAAGTTGCTTTGTGTGAGTGTCTGAATGCACTTTGACAAATATTTCAGTCTTGTCATGATATTAAAGTTTAGTAAGGAGAGTAAAAGGTGAATTCCCCCCCTTATTTATTCTACACCATGAGACATTCAGTAATTATATTTAAACCATGTTGTTTTTAGCTTTATTCTATTATTCTTAGTGTGCGTCTGATCATATTGAATATTGTGTTTGTGTGCCGTCAGATTATTTCACTCCTCCCAGAAGAGTGGAAGCCGGGGGAAACCTTGTTTGGCTGTCCTTGGCAAGCTGTTGTCATCACGGCTTTGGTTGGAGTAGTGACCTTCACCCTCTTCTTCTGGAGGACCGTGTTGGCAGTAAGTGTCGTACTACTGCTTCTCTCATCTCTGCTCAAATGATGTTGTGATTTGCCAACAATGAAGGGGGGAGAATGGTATTTGCTCAGATTTAATTAGGTTTTGACTCCCTGCATTAAAATGTTTGTCTTAATTGAATTTTCCTTCTCTGCTTAACTACCTGTGGTATCAACATAATATCTTATCTGGATCACTGTTGGACACTATTTATACTTATATTTATACAGTATTATATTTAGTATTTGTACATATTCCTGATAGCTACATAAAGCTACTTTACTACTTGTACATGATGCTGTGACCGTTATTTCAAACCGTGTGAATCAGACTGATCTTTACTTATTGCTTTTCTAAAACTTGCCAGGTAAAGAAGAGGGAATACCTCGGTATGTTTTTACTTATTTTTCCATATTACACAACATTACAAATTGCAGTAAAATCTAAGTGTAACATGTAGCTGATTGTGTACTTTCTGTGGCACTTTTATGAACACAGTGGATGAAAAAAAGCTGACCGAGCAAATTCAGGCCCTGAAAAAAGAGAAGAATGATGCTCTCACCAAAATGTCTGAACTCCAGAAACAGGTGAGTTACGAATGAAATGTGATGAAATATCTTACACAAACTACTGTTACTACTACGTTTCTGGAACGGTCTTAATTGTTTGTTATTCCTTTTTTTTTAAAGACTGAACAACTGAAAGAAAATCAAAAACAGTCCAAAGAAACAGTTAGTAGTACAATGAAAAGGTTGCAAGACCTGGAGGTAAGCACCAAGGATCATTTCTGTCTTTGATCACATTGTGTGTTTTTCTTTAAATAGAGATTTCAAGAATGGGGAAGTGTACCTGCTGTACTTGTAAATGGCTCATGGAGATTGTGTGACATTTGGACATTAAATAAAATGGCTTCCCCTTGTAAAGGGCTGTCTGTGAAGTTTCTCATTACATTTTTGCAGAGTAAGGTTTTGGAGGCAGAAACACTGAATGGAAACATGGCTGAGGAAAAGAACAAATACGCAAAACTACTTAAAGAAGAGAAGGCAAACTCTCTGCAAAATGAAACCAGGGTAATTATTTAAATATTTTCTTCTTCCTGTTGTATCTGGAACTCCCGTCTCAGATTCATGACCTTTAATGGTTTCTTTAACAGATTGAGAAATTGGAGAAGTCAAACGAGAAGCTGCAGCTCAGCAGGAAAAAGATTCAGGAAGCGCTCGCTAAGGTACAAGGCCTTGTATAATCCTCTGAACATTGCAAGATTATATGAAGCTTGTTGTTTTTCAGCTTCTCTTATGAACTGCATTGTATTCGCCACAGACTACCGTCCTCCTGGATGAGGCCAAGATTCGGGAAGATGCCCGAAATGTTCAGCACAAATGTCTTGAGAAAGAATATGGAGCGCTAAAAGAAGAAAATAAAACAGTAAGTTAATATGTAAACCGTTTGGATATTTTTACAGAGGTCTGAATTGATGGGTATCGTAATGTGTTTTTGTAAATCATTTCATTAGATCATTTTAGATACATACTGTTTTCCTGAGGCACTCCCCTGACTTTGCCTTTTCTTACAGCTTAAAACTACTATTAAAGGCTGGGAGGACAAACACAAGGAGCTAAACGAGAAGATTAAAGTCTATCAAAAGTCCCAGAAAGAGCTGGAGGACTCGGTGGTGCTCAAAGATCACAATGTGGAGGTCAGGATTTTTATTTTTAATTTTTTTTTAAAACTACTGTCACAATTTTTCTTGGTTATCAGCTGTACACATTAGTCCTTCACTTGCATGCAATTATCAACTTACCCCTCACAATGCTTCCTGCAGGTGCTGTCTGAACTTCTGGCAGACCTAGATGCTTGTGATTCACAAAAAGGTGACAAAGTTTTAGCCAATGGAGAAGTTGCACCTGGTTAGTCCAACTGTTATTAATTTAGTAAAATGAATAATACACATGTAAATAGATTCAGTAGTTCTTAAAGCACATATTTTTTTGTCACACATGATGTTCAGCTTCACACCAAGTGGTTGATGGTCTTTCAATGTTTTTTTCAGACAAGAAGACAGCCATAAAGAACAGGATCAAACAGATGATGGATGTTTCTCGGGTAAGATGTCAAAATAATATTAAAGCTCACTGTAGTTATACCTGTAGGTCAAAGGTTAAAACCGATCTCCCTTTTATAATGTTGGAAATATATGATTTCTTTCCAGGTCCAGACCACTCTCACTGTGGTTGAAGAAGAGCGTGATCGCTTCATGACAAAACTGCTGAATGAAGAAAAGACTAGAAAGTCCCTGGAAGGTATGTTGGTTTCTTTTGATGCCTTTTGAAAACGCCTTTCTTCCTGCAACCGCCTCTAAACATACCCTTGTTTTTTTACAACAGAACAACACCAGGAGCTGGAGCACTCTATTGCAACCCTAAAAAGTGAGAAGAGCCACGTTGAAAACCAGTTCAAGATCCTCCAGCAGAAAAATGAAATCATGGTTGAAATGTATCAGCAGAAGGAAAACGCTCTGCAGCAGTAAGTGAAGCCGTAACCACTAACCAACACCTTTTTTTTTAATCTTTTTTTATTAGCTGCTGTAACACACTGCAGGAAATCTGCTCAAATGACCACGACGAATATGAATAACATATACTGTGTTAGCATAATCCAGTCAAACATCTCATGAATAAAAAGCATGTGTCTTTGAAATGGAAAAGATGTTTAGGAAACCTGTGTTGCTGTTATTTGAAGAAGGGTGTTTCTGTGGCTTAACAGGAGATTAACAAAGGAGGAGTTGGAGCGACGCAGCAAAGAGAATATGCTGTCTGAAGTGGGAGGAAAAGCTCTTGAGGCCGAGGAGCAAGTTAAAGTGCTAAGACAACGCATTAATGAAATGGAGGAGCAGATGAAGAAGACAGAGGAAGTCTATAAAGACCAGGTAGACTCTTGTTAAGCTTTATTCATCCTTAAACGAGCAAGTACAGAAAGAAATGTTTGTGAAACCTGACTTGACTTTTTTTCTTTCTCTCTTTTAGATAAAAGAACAGGAAAACAAAACTCACTCAAACTGGGTATGTTGTACACTTTATTCACATATAACCGGGTGCTATAAATGGATATTTAAGCCTGTTTGATATTAATAACAAGCTGAGCCAGTTGCACACTAAGTCTCCATTATGTTTCCAGGTAAATGCTCGTAATGCAGAGAGAGCTCTAAATCAAGAGAAGCTTGAATCATCAAAGCTCCGTGAAAAGTAAGTGATAGTAGAATGAGTAAAAATGGTTTGAAGTGTTTCCTGTGGCTGGAGCAGAAACAGAAATAACAAACATTTATTTGTTTCAGCTGCTCATGTGTGAAGATTTGCTTTTTTACCTTCATTGTTTGAGTATTGTTGGGTTTTGGACTGTTGGTTGGACAAAAGGAGCAACTTCATGCTGTCACAGACTACCCATGATATTTACTTGTACCTAACATGTTTTCTTAAACCCATTTACAGACTGGCTGTACTGACCTCCCAACTTAATGAGCGCCGTGCTCCTCTCTTCAGACCCAACTCTGGACAACCTGCAGGTCCTCGCCAAGGTAAGCAGGCCACACACCTTGTCTGCTGTTTTCTTTCCTTCGGGACAGTTGTCATCCTACAGAGCCCCGAGAAGAGGATGCTGCATTTTGTTTTTGCTAAATGAGAGTGTTTACTTTCTCAGTGAGCCTGGAATGAGGAGCTCTTCTTTGCATAGATTGTGGTGTGTTGTCAGCTGTTTTGTTAAACGGATGGTTTAATCGTAACAGGTGATTCTTACGGGCCCTCTCCTGTGAGCGGGGGTGCACCATCCCCTCCGCTAATGATAGAGGGTCCCAGGCGCCCTCCGTCTGCCCCAGTGGGGCGAAGAAATGACCCGTATGGTGAGTCCCTGTGGAATACTTCACCTTCTTTGATCTTCACTACAGTTGGACGTCTTCCCTCCACCACAACCTTGTCCTTCAAACTTTCTCCTCTTGCACACCTGACTTTCTTTTTCTTTTTAACTCTTTCACCTTCTTTAGTTATTCCTTTTTATTTCTTCCCAGTGTGTATTACATCCTGCATCTTCCTGGTACCTGTCTGAACTTCGTTTTTCATCTTCTTGCTTTGTTTGTTTTAGTTGAATCATTTAGAAATGTTATTTTTTTTTTTCTGTGGAGGATTTGAATGTGTTTCTGTTGAGATTTGCTTCACCTTTTGTTTTTTAAAGGCCCTAAAAACATGTTTCTTCAGTCAGCTTCTTGCTGTATGCAACAGGGTTCAGATGAAGCTGAATTTTGAGTTAAATTCTTAATAAATAAAACAGAATGTTTGGATGTTTTCCCCCCGAAATGTTAGAGAATTCACTTTGATGTTTTCAGGGGCTTTAAATTCAGAGTGCTTCATTCCTCTCAGATGATTGTCCTCATGGAGTAACCTTTTCCCATGTTGTTATGGTTTGTTTCCTCTTTGTTTGTTTACAACCGTGTCTTCCCTGGAAAAGTGCTATAGGCAGAGTCATGAGGGATTTAATTCTTCATTGTGTCGTTTTGTTTTTTCTCCCCTCAGGTCCACGACCTCCATCAGACCCACATGGCCGTTATGCTGAAAACAAACACATCTCTGGGATGGGTATGTCCTCTGTAGTCTCTGTATTTCAAAGGGCTGACCTTTGCTTTGAACCGTCTTTTAACACTGTGCTGTTTCCCCTCTTGCAGACATGATGGGCCCCCGTAGCTCCTCACCTGCCAACATGGATGCCTCTGTAAGTGCTTTTCTAATGAGATCAGACTCATTTTGAAATCGATACCTTTCCCTCCCGTTTTATCTGAACAGCTAGAGCTCCTACCTACATGTCTGTTGTGTATGTCCTTACTCTAAAACAGACACAAGCAGTAGATCCACAGATAAAAGCAGAGACACAGGCTGAGGCCTCCACAGACAGTCCAGAGCCAGTGAGTATAGAGGCTGTCCGGACCAGGTGTGACGGTGTATGCGAGCACACCCTCTTCCCTAAAGCTGGATTTGGATTTGGGAAGAATTTTAAGGCATTTCGCTTCACTGGGGCTGATCTAACTTAGTGGGCTGCGCGTGTGGTTTCACCTGTTCTCACAGCATTGAACCAAGCAGAGATTCTTTTCATCAAGTCTGAGCTTCAGCTAAAATGTGTTTTGGAAAATAAGATTGCCAAAAGTATGTGTGTCAAGAGTATTTGTATTTGTGAACGTGGTTTGATTTCTCATCCAAATAATCATGGTGTCTGGTTGCTGGTCATGTGATTGAGCTCTGGGAGTAAATTGTGTGGTTTGTGGATCTGTTCACTGCATGACTAAAAATGTAACCCGTCTATACTCACTTCCAGGACCAAGTCAAATTCTAATCGCTGCATTCGAGAACACAGCAGGCGACCCTTCTTCATTATCTCCCTAAATCCGTCTTTTTCAGGGTCCTGGATCCTTCTTAGCATCTCCAATCAGGGACTCACCAGGTCCCATGGTTCAAGGACCTCCACCCGGACCCCATGACCCGCTCCTCCCTCCTGGACCCCACGGCCGCCTGCCACCTCCTGGAGCATACAGACCACCACGACCTGGACTCTACCACCTCCCACCAGGTCCTCATGGTCCTCCTCTTCCTCATGGGCCACCACTACCGGCCAACGGACACCCAGGCATGCCTCTGCCTGGACCAATGGGAGGAGAGTTTGGACCTCGACCCACCAATGGACATGCATTCCACCCCAGGCCAGGCCCTGGACATGTCATTGATCCTCGGGGTCCACCACCGCCCCACTTCCGTCCCCCACCACCTCATCACTTTGGACCGATGCCTCCACATGGTGCGTTATCATCAGTTTGTTCTGTGTATGCTGAGTAGTGCAGAGACGTTGTGTTATGCTGGTAAATACACAAAGGTGCAGGATGTGCTGGTCGTGATTGGAAGTAAAGTAACGAATACTTCATTATCCTTCCAAAAAATATTAAGTTGTAGGGTACATTAAGCAGAAAACTGTTTTGTAGTGATAAAACAAAATAATAATACAAAGTAATCTATCAGCCAAACTGCAGCAGTGAGTCTGACTCTGGTACAAGATCACATCTAGCGAGCCCTGAAGCCCTGAAGCAGCTGTATTTTTAGTATTCTCCAAGTAACAGTTCAGCATGACAATGGTACATTTGGCTGAAAGGCAACCATTGTGGCCAGGATTAATGGTGAATATTTAAACGCTGTGTAGCAGCAGCACAACTAGAGAAGAGTTGTATAGTGAATAAAATGACTGAACGTCAGCGACCCAGCAATATCTATCTAAAGTTTGCTAGAATGCTTTTCCTTGACTGTTCAGAAATCGATTGAAATTGCAAGGTTGTGTTTTATGTTACATTTAACTTTTCATTTTTAAAAGGGGTAAATTGTTTTATTTCTTCTTTCAAATGTTACATTTTGTCAGTTGACAGCAAGCTCTGTTTTATTTACAGTCCTTGAGCGAGTTCTTGTTTACGGTTGTAATTCTTCCATTTTGATCACCGGCAGTTAGTTTAGTGATGTATAAAAGCTGAGTAGGTGGAAGAAGGCACAAGCTTTTGTTGTGAGTGCAATCCTGTGGCTGTTTCCTGAAAGCAGCACATAAAAATGCACAGCCGTACATACATAAGAACTTAAAAACATCTTGCACTATAACTGAGTATTCTGGAAGTTGTTCAGTCTCATCATTAATATTTCCTTTTTCAATTGTTCCCTTTAGGTATTCGTGGACCTATGGGACCACGTCCACCCATCCCACATGACATGCGTTTCCCAGGACCGCGTGACCACACCGGCCAACCAATGAACCTTCCTCCGGGTGTCTCTCCCCATCCTGCACTTGGTGATGTTTACGGTCAGGCTCCACCCGATGCCCTCCAGAACTCAGCGGGAGCTCTCACCGGCCCCGGACAGGACCTGCATGTGAAGCAGGAGGCCCCTCAGGACTCAGCGAGGCCAGCGATGGTCAAGCCTTAAAAGTGCCAGCATTTTACGGCAGAGGACTTGAACTTACCCCGAAACTATCACAGTAACGACCCAGATCCAGTCCAACATCGGTCATGATTATTTTCATATTTCACTTATAAAGTAAAAACTGCAAATGTTTATTATAAAAAAGAAATATGGTCCTTAAATTAAAGCATCATCAATAATTATGTGTCTGAATGAATAATAGTTAAAGAGGGTTGCCACTTTTTTAAACAGCTTAATTGTGCAATAATAATTCATTATATGCCAGAGGATTTCATTTTCGTTGATCTTTTAAAAAAATATATAGCAATGATTTTTAAGGGGCTAATTTCTAAATGTCATTTCCTGTGGAAATTATTTTAAAAAAAAGAGAAAAAGGAGGGAGGTTTAGCTTCTAGCATTTCAGGAATACCATAATTTTCCCAAAGCTGTGGCTTTAGAACCGACGGTGAAGCAAATGTGTAATTTGATGGCCAGATGTATAACTTATTTTACTATGTTGGTAGAACTTTTAATAATAAAGATTGTAAAAGCTGTCGGAGGTGTTATGTTGTCAACAAGCTACATCTGCTTTTCAACGTGTGTCTTAAGGCGTTTGCTTTATTCGGAAAAAATAAGGCATACATCTGTGCTGCTGCTGCTGCTGAGACAAACATGAGCTTAAGTTCTGTTCATGTTCATTAAAAGACCGTTGACGTTTTTTATTATCCTATTGCAATTTATCCAAAAACTGCATGTACCGTATTTTAACAGAGGGAACTGAAAATATGTTTCTATGTAATCTGAGTGAAGTGAGCTTTTAATACTAGATTTAAGAGGGTAAGTTGTTAGAATATTATATTTAAACCAATGAAAATGCTAAAAAGTGTTTTAAGGAACAATTTTAGCCTAAAACCTAAAAATAAATTGAGAAAGAAATACATCAGATTGAGGAATTTAGGAAGTATGTATAACAACTCGGCTCTTTGTGAAGAAGACTCTTGAATACATGTTTGCAATGCAAGTTAATGTAGGAGTGGTCAGCAGTCCTCAATATAGCAAAATAACAACTTAGTAACATTCAAAGGCTTCATGTTTGCATAAATCACGTATGATTTATGCAAATAAAACATCACTATATGACGCTCTGGATGAAACTGTCCACAAAACTGCTTCATTTGTAGTTTATTAGAAATTAATAGCATTGTAAATGATACAATTCCCCTCAGTCTGTCATCGAAACTAAAACATTCCACAGGTCTCAGTCCTACCACATCGTAGTGCTTCATACAGACACACAGTGACTGTATATTCATCAGTTAGTGTATCTTACAGTTAATTTACAGTCCTGAATATTGTGACATTACAAAAATAAAATCTAAAATCAAATATTACAATGTAGATGTTTTTAGTGACGAAGAACATCTGCAAAGTCAGAATGAAAACAAAGTTACATGCAACTTCATTTAAAAAAAAATGTTACTTTTTTGAGTAACAATACAAGAGAGAGACGATTCTTAAAAAGTCAGTCCGAGATTGTTGTTCTTTGACTGCCAATAAAGACGTATCCTCTAGACTCACGTAAGCACCGGTCAAATACAACTGCATACATAAAATCTGCAAAGTAACACTAATATCAATTAATTAATTAAAATAAACACTTTCTGGCAGGTGATAAACACTGTGTTTCTTGCTTGGAAACAAACTGGTCTCGAAACATCTGGCCCGCGACCAAATGCTCACACTGAATACGCTCGTGAGCAATACAATAACTGCATTAAAACACCTGCAACAACTCGCGTCACGACCCGTTTCCCCCCCTCCCTCCGACATCAGCGAGTTAAGGAAGACTGGAGATGAGATGGTTTAACTGCTTTAACACAATCCTGCTGTAATAAGACACCCCTGCATCTGCAACCAATCAAAACTGACTTTTTTTTAAGGGTTTTAGCAACAGACCAGATACACGCTCGACAACAAAATTTAAAGGAATATAAAAAAATGCAAAACTAATGTGGCATTCGGAGCTGAGCTGACTAATGTTTGGCTCAGTTCTCTTTATGTTCTTCATATACTCGTGGATAAAAAAAATAAAAAAAGACTACAACCTCGATTTAGTATTGCTGGATGCGATGAGGTGGAACACCACATTTTGCTGGATGTGGATGTAAGAGAGATTAAAAGAGGTGGTTTAAAGTTCGAGGCGTGCTCCGACTTAGCTGTCCTTGTGTAACGTCTGATGAAGATGGAGATAGAGTTGTTTCTTTGTTAGAAGCTGCAGTTTCTTTCTCTTGAAGTCTGTGGGCTTCCTGTAGCTGAAATTCAAGAAGGTACGGTTATAGACTTAATGTTTCAAAAAAAACATCCATTTAGACAAAAAAAGATGTCAGTCGACTCACAGCTCGATTACGATGGGGCCGGGTTTGATCTCGTCCATTTCCATGAAGGCGAAACATTTTGTGCTGGTGAACCTCTTTTTAGGTTTGTAGTGCTTAAATTCAAAGAAGATAGCTGCTCCTGGAAGAAAGCACAACAGGTTTAAACATGAATAGGAGGCTTTACGTCGGCTGTGAGACTGAATAATTACTTCACCAGTAGTGTTATCACCCTCCAGTGTTTTCTCCAAACATTCTGCACATTAAGGGCAATAAAGGGTGTAAATAGCCTTATTCTATATAGGTTTTACTCTTAACAACTGACAATAAATCTTTAAAAAAAAAAGTCATTACTACTTTAAAAAACTGTATATATATATATAT